TAAAAATGATGGTGGGATATACCCCACCTATTAAATTTAATATAAACTTGAGAATCGAATACAGAATCGAAGAGAATTGTTAGGATCCTTAAATATTATTAAAGATTATATGGAATCTTTATTAATAGTACCAGCTGAAAAAATTGAATTTATTTTTAATAAATTATTAGAAATTGATAATAATCTTACAGATAAATACTTTATATATTTATAATATAACTAGTTCTTTAAAAATAAAATTTAATCTATTTATATTAATTAGATTGGGTTCAATATTATCGAAAACCTTATGTTATTGCATCATTAAATCCATATATGTCAAAAATTTCATATAATTCTTGGCATGCCGCACCCAATAATACAAATTGGCAGAAGCAGCACATGCTATGAGTAATCGTAAAGGAAAACAACTAAAATTAATGACAGCTATTTTAAGGTTTTTATTTATTTATTTTTTATAAATTTGTTTAATAAATTTTGTTTTATTTAATTTAATTTATTTATTGTATTTAGAGAGCAGAAATTAGATATGTGCAATTTTAAAAGAATTGAAATAAAAAAATTTTTTAATATAAATCTTAATGGTTATGACAAAAGTGGAATTGCACATAAAAAATTAGCAATTAAACAAAGTAGTTGGTATTTTTTATTAAATAATTTTTATAATAATGTATTTATTTAATATTAATTATAAATGTATTTAACAGTTAAACGATCTTCTAAAACTGCTAATCCAAAGAAATGCCAACAATTAACTATGCAAACAAGTAATAAAAAACCATACAAGTTACCAGAAGCTGATTTGACAAATATAGAAAAAGAAAACACTCATGAATTGTCAATGACATTAATGGAAAAATTGGAGTATGAAGAATGTATGCTGGTAATTGAAAAACGAAAAGAAAAATTAAGAGAATTACGAATAGCTAATACTATTAAGGAACGTGAATTAGGTCTTAAATAAAAAATATTAATATGTATTAGAAATTTGTAATTAGTTTTCAATGTAAAGAGATGTTTCTTTTAATATAATTATAAAAAATTATTAAAATTATATAAAAATTTCTTTTAAAAATCTCCATATATATTATTTTTAAATATAAGGTATACTATATATAAAATTATATAATATACAAAGTATTATAATGGTAGTGTATTTTATTATACATAGTTATATATTATATGCTTTTTTATTTTTACCATCATACGTTACTTCTCTTATATGTCCGACTTTACTACTATTCACAACACTGCTTATGAATTATGCAATCAAATTTCCTAGTACATAGGATTTAGTCATAAAGAAATTCGTCCACCAGTTATAGAGAAAAATAGATAGCTATTTTAAAAATTAATAACAGATCAAGAAGAGATAATATATATTGTAATAGATAAGTATCAATTTTTACTTCATTATGGATATAACTATAAGAGTAGTAATATAATCCATATAATGTAGATACTGTATATACAGTTCTGGCAAAAAAAAAATGGCACTTGTGTATTTAATCATAATTTTACAACTAGCTAAAAATATAACTTATAAAGTATATTATTTTTTATAATCAATTGTGTCATCCTTGTTTTGTATGACTAACTCTGATCATCGCTTTGTAAATTTTGCTAAATTTGGACATGTATTGACATCAATTTTTTGCCATTCCTGTACAATTATAGATAGAAACATTTGTTGTATTACTTTTTTTTCTCTAATAGGCATACTTACTTTCTTGTTTACTTTTTTTTTATTATTGTTTATAAATTCTCAATTGGATTTAAATCTGATAATTATTATGGCCAATCAAGAACTTGCAGGTATTATTCATGAAGAAGAGTAAATGTAAGCTTAGCAGTGTACTTTGGATCATTATTCTGTTGGAAGGTCCACATGTTGCCAATCTTGTTCTATGCTTGTTCAAAAAAAATTTCTTGTAAAATGTTATAATATTGCTCACCATCCATCTTTTTTATAAAAGTATAAAGTTCTATTGTACCATTTATACAAAAAGTCATCCAGACATAAGCTTTATAAGGATATTTAACTAATTCACAACTTGGTTATAGTCTTTCAAACTTGTATTAAACCTGTATTATATTATAAAACATCTGAAATATTGCCTCATCTGAAAAAATAGTATTATTCTATCACCTTTTCAAATATAATTTGGCCTATTCAAGTCAATAAAGCTTTATAGCTTTTGTTAAAAAAAAATTATACAGAAAACATAGACTTTAAACCCAAGTTTTTAAAGTTTATCATATACTGTATATAGAGAAATAGTAAGGTTCAGTTAAGTTTTTTTGAGTGCTTCTATTAGTTCTAAGCTTGTTGCCTGGTTTTTTCTTATGACTATTAGATTAATATGCTTATATTATATTGCATTAAGTTGATACAAGTGGCTTGAACATTATCTTTGCTTAAGATCACCTGTTTGGACAAGATGAGTAGCTCATCTGAATAGTATTCTTCTTGGATATTGTGTTATTTTTTGGAGTTTGCTAACTTTTTTATGTCTTTGTTTTTACAAAAATTTAACCGTAAGACATTTTTATGTCAAAATAATTATATATTATACTAAGCAGCACAAATTTTTTTTAACTTTAAAATAATCAATTATTAACTAAATTTATTAATAGTATAATAAAATTTGTAATCTAATTACTTAATTTTTAAAAAAATCAAGAGTACAATTTTTTTTGCCAGAACTATATACTGTATGTAAGAATCCTAATAATTTTCTTTAATTTTGTATTCAATTTTCAAGTTTATATTAAATTCAATAGGTGGATTATATTCCACTATCATTTTTAATAGTGTTTCAAATCTTATATAATTCCCTGCAATTCTATTTGATTCCAATTTTCAGAACCATATATATATGTACTGAAAAAGATATAAAAAAAGTATTAAATAATTTCATTAAAGATATTATATAGAAAGGTTTTAGCTTACATTAAAAAAAAAATTTAAAAATCTTATACTTATACCAGTTGTTATAGTTAATTAAATAAATTATTACTTTGGAATAAAAATATAGTTAATATACTTATTTTTAAATAAAAGAGTTAATTTTTTCTTCTTAAATAAATATAATTTTTTAGAGTTTTTATTAAATCAAGATTATATCAGTTTTAATTGTTTTTTCAAATACATTATATATTATTGTAAATCAATAGGCTCTATTATTATTAATCTTAATCAATATACTAACTATTATTTTTTTATTACCAATTATTTATATTTCATGGACTGACCTCTGACTTGTTAATTTAAAATGCATAATATTACTTTCTTAAGATCTATTATAATATAATATAATTTCAGTTACAATAAAATTATAATTATTTTTAAATTTATTTCGTTATATTTAATTAATTTATATATTTATGCATTATTTTTTGCCTTAATTATATTACTATATTATAACAATAATAATAGTAATATTAATAATAAAACTAATTTAAGAGAAATTATTTTTAATTATATGAAATACTTTTATATAAAAAAAGTAATATAATAGCTATTTAGAAAAAACTTGATATTAATAGTAATCTAAATCAAATAGCAATATTAAAGAACAACAAAATAAAAAAAACTTGTTAATTTATAAAATTTAATATCTATACAAGAAAAATTTAATATTATAATCAATTTTATTTTAGAAGTAAAACTTATAAAAAATAAAGTTTTTTTATACTTAAAAGATAATATAGTAGCAATTTAGAAAAAAATTAAAAAAAAATCAATAAAAATGTAAAAGTATATCTTTAAAAGTTTGAAGAATTTAACAATCTTTAAGAAGATAATCCAGAATATATCAATAAAAAAAGTTGTTAACAAAAAAGTAAATAAATTTTTATTTAGTAATAAAAGTCTATTATTATTTTTAAATATTATTCTTTAATAATTGCATAAAATTTTTATCAAAAAATTAATTAGCTACAATTAATAC